GGTTGTCTTCAGGAGCCATCAGAGTATTAAGATGTGGGCAGCAGTACCCTTTTGGGTGAGAACCTATTCAGTCACAAATTCTATTTGGATCTACAGGGAGAGGAGTGCTGAGGAGGCCCACCATCGAATTTTCTGCCCAGCCACTCACCTTCGTCCCGGTGCCCATCTTGGTGGGACCAGGTTCTGTGGGGTTTATATCTCCATTTATACGCCTCCCTGTTCCACAAAGGATTTAAGTCTGGTTGTGGAAATACAGATGATAAATTGAACCAACTAAGAAAACTGAAGCTTGAGAGAAAGGGAATAGGCAGGTAAGATGGAGTCAGAGTGAGAAGAAAAGTTTAAGTGCATGTCACAAAATCACAGACTGTCCAAGATGCTGGGCTTCCTGGCAGCCAGTGCAAAGAGGGAAACGCAGTTAAGAGATTCAGTGTCACGACACGGTAGCCAGCCAGAGGCTCAGAGGCTCAGCTTGTCCACAGTGGTTATTCTCACGGGTCCCGAGAGTCAGGCAGAACATTACAAACAACATTCTTGGCAAAACCCCTCCATGAACACAGTAAGCAGTAGGATTCTTCTCTTTTTAGCAGGTTCTCTCTGTGGCTTCCATCCGAAGCTACTGCCAGCCCCCAAGCTGCCCACACTAACCTCCTTTGCTCCCCACCTCTGCTGAGTCGAATGATTGTTTTCTATTCCTGTCTGGATATCCGGGTTCCCCTTGATCCATCACTCCTAGTGGGCCAGAGGGTCACTTCTTTTCTACCCTTTAGTCCATGCTCAAGGATGCAGTGGAGAACAAACTCAAAGCCATTTTTGTTTCAGTCCTGAGATAGTTGTTGTTGTTGTTATTATTATTACTATTATTATTTTGGTAATGTGTGAGTTCATTGCTCAGTCTCAGTGAATCCAGACCACGTGAGCAGGCTGAATTGTTCGATGCCTGAGGATGTTTTGGTGACTCTGGGCTGCCCTCTGAACCCCAGAGTGATCAGTACAGAGAGGGCCCTGGCCCCGGATTTAGAGGGAACCATATGTGCAGAGGCACAGACTCAAACCAGTCCCCTAGCCCGTTCTCAGGATGTGGGGTTCTGTGCTGGGGCAGACTGCTTCTGCTGTTTTCTGGCCTGGTCTGAGAGCTTTTGGGCCTGGGCTGGCCTGTCTCTTTTTCCTCCTGTCAGGTGTCCAGAAGGAATGTCCTTGTGACAGGTGTCGAGTTCTGATTTGGGACAGGAGCCAAGCCCTCTGAGATGATGTCAGGTCTCCACCTCGGTTAGTGGACGAGCGGCCACCGTGGGTACAACCCCGGGGTCAGGTGCTCCGAGGGGCCCAGGAGGATCAGCCATAGATCAGGATGCTTTCTGTGGGGCTGAGGCAGCGAGACTGACGGACAGGAGAACCAGGGTGCGCAGCACAAGCCATGTGGTACACATTCCAAGCCCCGCTGGGAGTAGAGAGGCAGGCAGGACCGGAGCATTCAGGGAGGGCTCCCTGGAGTTGCCAGCCTTCATGTTCCTCGGTCCTAAGGATGCAGCTGATTTGGCCAGGGGAAGGGACCAGAGGGAACCTAAACCTGGAGGAGACAGGCTGGGGGATGCACTGGAGCAAAAAACGCAAAGGAAGTTTTAATGATCTCGGGGTCTTACTCAGGTGCTGTCGGAGCAGGTTGCTCCCAGCCTACAATTCAGCTTTGAAATCCGTGGTTAAGGCAGCCCTGCTCTCGTGCTGCCTCCTGCTGGCTGTTGGGAGTATAGCAGCAATGACCCGGAAAGCGGCTCAAGATTAGGCTTCTGCTGTTAGTTTTACTAAGCCCGCACCGGGTGCTGTTATTCCCCTTTTGGGAGAGAGAACACATTTGGTGGCTGAAAATGTTTTTGGGAGCAGTAGCAGGGTGTCCCAGAAAGAGCTCTGGTTTTTTTCTGCAGGCCTTGGGGTGGTCGGACCAGGTGATCTGAGGGCCCCCTGGCTGTGCGTTCTGTGATTCTAGGTAAAAACGATATGCAAAGCCTAGAAAGATGTGTCTCTGGGTGTCAGATAAACTGGGTATGGGCAGAAAGTATTTTATATCTCGACTGAGATAGGACCACATGGCCAGAGGACATGGAATATGCTCAGCATTGAACATTGCAAAAATACCGTGCACTCAGTGACATGAATCCATTCTGGTGCTTTCCCTGTGGATTAGTCACGGCAGACCAAAACAGGAATCCTGCTGTCGTTTTGGAGGGGAAGACTGCTGCTAGATTCTCCTTCCACTAGGCTCCTTTGCTTCTCTAGGACTTGGCCTATTGAAATGAAAAATCTACATAGCTTTGCTTAAGGTTCTCTTTGAAGGCTTCCTGGCATTTTACATCCTGTCTCTTAAAGAATGCTTGGAGCTGAATGTGCAAGTGTAATGAAGGCACTGTCAGCATCGCTGGTTTGTATTATAGAAAACTGCTATTCCTCTCCAGAGGTCACTGCCACCATCTTTCCTAGAGATTCTTTCCCGGAGCATTCTTCTGGTATGGCCTCACAGCTCTAAGCTGCAGGGTTAGACATGTCTCAGTTAAGGCAGCGCTGTCCCCACCTCCCCTGGTAGCTTATCAGTACATTCTGAAGTCTGTGCCCATTCCCATGCACGGCGCCTGACCAGTCTCACAGTTGCAATGATCCTGGATCCTCTGCGGTATCGCTGGAGGATACCGGGGCCTCGGCCCTCCTAACCGGCCTGGCTTGCCGTGCTGTGTGCCTAACTTTGAACTTGCGTGCCCTTCTTTGCTCCTTTCTACACTGATCCCACCTCGCTGTACTTTGTCTCCTCTGCATAGATTGTAAATGGACATTCAGTGGTTGAGGGGGATGTGAATGAGGGTGGTGTGAAGGCATGGGAGCCTCACCAGGTCCAAAACCCATTGGCGTTTTCCGATGATGATGAGGAAGACCTGCTGGATTTCATGTACAAGTATAAAGCGCCTCGAAGGACGGAGTTCCCCCTGGAGGTACACGGTGTTGGGGGCTGCGGGGTGGAGCGTGTGTTTGCACAAAGGGCTCTGCCCTGGAGAACTGGGGCTCCTGGGGGCAGCATCTCTTGGGGCACCCAACGCCTCCGGAGTGCCTGGGGCGGGGAGACCTCCCTCCATCAAACAGGCAGGACAAGCCACTAGGTAGCGTCCAGCTACTTGACAAGGGGTAAAAAAGGCCCTACTACTTTTATTTGGAAATAGGAGAGGTGACATAGTGCCTAGGGATTAAAAAAACAAACAAAAAACCCAACTACCAACCTAAGGTGATGTGTGAATGAAAAGCAGCCAAATGAGTGTTTTGGAGGAAGAAAAACTCAGAATGTGTTATATGACAAGTCTTTATAAATAAAGCGTGTTCATCCCTGTATCTCCATGACACCGCGTAGTGCCCGGTACAACACAGATGTTCATAAAATGTTATACAAGGGGCACAGCCCTTCAAAATGACCAAAACAATACACTTGATCTGTGTACTCTTGCCAGTTGTAGATGCAGATGGGGTTTTGGCAGCAGGAGGGCCAAGCCTAGAGCCTCAGGGCCTTGCTCTGTGCAGGGTCACCAGCCTTGGGCTCGGGTACAGGGCCCGCAGAATCGGGGGACCCCAGAGTCTTCCTCTCTGTCCCGTCACATCTCCCCCCCCCCACCTTCCCCTCCCCCTGAACACTGTGGCCTGAGAGTCCATCTGAGGCAAGTTGGGAGTCCCCCTGCCCACAGAGCAGAGACCCTTGTGAGCCTCAGGTGAGGCAGTGCATGGAAAGGCTGACCTCCTTCCCGGAGGGCAGGGAAGGTGCCAGAACCATTCTAGGTCCTGAGGCTTTGTGCCTTTTTGCTTTTGTTTTTGTACAGCTGCACAAGCTGCTTTACTGTTTATGGTTAAACTGCTTGAGGCAGATGCCTAAAACAGAGGTTTTACCGATTCTTTTCTTACTGTGTCCAGAGGTGGCTGGTAAACATTTCCTAGTCGCAAAGGTGTGGCGTGAGGACTCGGGATGTGGAAGGCCAGAGCCTTCCGTTCCTGCTTCTTTCTCTTCTGCCTCCCTTCCGTGTGCCCGCTGGGCACCAAGCTCCTTGCTGGGAAACGGTGGTGAACTCGGCCCTGCTCCCAGGAAGTCACAGTGTGGCAGGGGACACAGTGCACAGAGCAGGCACGCTCCCCCGTGGGCGCAAAGTCCTCTGACGCCCTGTCACATGCTAAACAATGTGAGAACCAAGGAGCGGATCCTGACTGTGAGTGGGCCATGTGGGCGGGGCTCAGGAGTGACTTAGGACGGAGAAGGGAGGAAGGACCTCTGGTCAGGAGGGATGGAGGTATGAAAGGGCAGTGTAGAAAACGAAGCTGAGTACAGAGAGTTGGGGCCAGTTGTGAACCCCCTTGAGTGCCATGCTGGAAAATATTTCCCTTTTCTTTTATTGTGATAGTAACTTCCCCTGTGATTTGTGTGTCCCGTGGAAGGAGGGGTCCCTTGATAGCCATTTGTAGGGAAGATGAGGTGGAACCCTTCATACTTAAAGGCAGTGTTTCCTCTGTTGTGTGCTTTGCTGTGCATGAAGGGATTTCACCTCCAGAAAGAGGACTGGAAATTTGTTGATGGAAGTTTGAAGCACGTACCAAGTAACACTGAGGCTGGTTCCCAAGGGAAGAGATGGGGAGGTCTTTCTGCTGAGTCACTTGGTAAGGTCATTTTGCTCTCAAGGCAGAAACAAGATGTGTCATCCTTCCGTCTAGCCATTCACTTGGGAGATCCAGGGACTCAGGAGAACATGAAGAGGGAGGCGCCGGGCTCCTCAACTGGCTCAGCTTCATGGGGATGCTTGGGCTGTGACTCCGATTCCTACTGTGGACACTCCGAGTGGGCCCCCAGCCGCACCAGCCTCTTCACACACGCGTGCATTTGACCAAAGGAGCTGGAGTCTCAACACAAACCCAGCCGGGTGCTGTCCTCGAAAGCTTCCATGCTATGCCAAATTGAGGGGTCCTTTTTCTGTTTCCTCTACCAGGCACCGCCTAGAATCCTTCGATCTCGCTTCAGGAAGAAAAGTACCTCATCCTCGGCCACTGAAACCACGTGAGTGAGATGAGCCAACAGCACTGGATCCACAGAATGTTTCTTCTCTGCCTTAAAGAGCTATTTATTCACTAATAACATAGAAACCCGCAAGCTGGTGTACTGAGCGTGCAGCCTCGGACACGGCCTTTCCTCTCTCGCCTGTTCCACTTTTAAGAGTTTCTCTTCCCCCCTCCTTTTCTTTCTTTTGCTGGGGAGAGGCTAAAGGGAAAGGTAGTGTGCCGGGGGTCAGCAGTTTTCCACAACTGGACCGGCATACAGATAGCAGTGTTTTAGAAATAGAAGAGAATCACCCCCACTGCCGGGATGCACATTTGTAATATCTTGGTTGCATACTTGGTTTTTAGTCCTGTATATGCAAACAAAGCAACTTTCTTTTTAACTTCTTTTTGTTCTTGGTACTAGTACTTTGGACTACAATGTACATATTTATGGCTTTTGGCTTAATATAGTGGACTTGCAAGGGCTGCCAGAGGTTCTGATGTGTAAGAAAACTGCAAAAGCAGAAGTGTAAAAAGTTATTTTGATTCTAGAGGATGTCTCAGATGTGCTTATGAAGCTTCCAAATACAACTCGAGTACAACATCCCTTTTCCTGCAGGGCGATGGTCCATATCCTTCAGACAGTTAGTCAACAGACCAGACTGAAGTTTAGAATGAAGAGAGGCAACATTTTAGTGACTGGTGTGAGTGTAACAAAGTCAGGGGAACAGCCTAGAATAAGAGAAAAGTCACAGGAAGCTTGTCTCTCCCATGGATCCAGGATTAGGAGCTTCTGAATCCTTTACAGGGGATTTATCATCGTCTTAGGCAGGAGCCTCGCCCTTGGTAAAACTTCTCTGGGGGGGGGGGGGGGGGGG